GAGAAGCAGGACATGTACAATCCTCGTGCACTAAAAGGTCGGAATCCCCTAAATGTGCTACATGCTCTCGTTACAATAAGCCCAATAAACATAAAACCGGAGACACTGACTGTCCGGCTAGGAAAATAGCTGAATATAGGTACATCAACTCTATCGATTATGAGGACGCGTAAAGTGTCATACTCTCGGATTACAGAGTTGATTAACCTTCCCTTGCACATTAATTAACATCGTAACAAGTTGGCGTACTCAACAATTTGTTGCTGTTCAAGCGTATTTTATTGTAACGCCAAGTGAATGACCGTTTGGACTGTAAACTAGATTATGTTTCTGTTGATGTATCAAATTCTTCAGTACTATAGTTCCTCCAATGTTTTATATATATATGTATATCTATGTTTTGTATTTAAGCTAATATAATTACTTGTTTAATAAATGTACTTATACGATAATATTAATATTTAGTTACCTATCATGTTATGTAGTCATGTACGTGTGTATGTATCTATGTATGTATATTAAATAATCAACTTTACTTTACTTTTGATCGATTACTTATGTTATGGAATTTGTTTATATAAATAACTTGTCCTAGAATTAGTAACATTGTGTGTGCTCCTTTCGCCTGTGATACAGGATATTTTTCCTAGTACAGGCATTCAAACCTAGTGAGGTCTCTGATTTTAAATTAAGATTTTTATCTGTACTATGACCAATTTCTTATAATGAATAAAGATTTATTTTATTTATTTTTATTTTTACTTTTATAATATTCATAAAGTGCACCTCTGCCTACCCTTTTGGGGATAAAAAATGTAATGTTATGTTATAAAACCATTATATCGACAGAACGACAAACTATATATACCAATATTGTCCCAACTCTCTAATAAAAAAAGAACAAAGCGTCCACACTAACCCTTCATACCGGTCACTCCGATAATAAAAATCACTTTGCGTACTAATTCAAGTTCGATGAAGCGACATAAAGAATAGCCAGTACAAAATTGAAAAGCAAATCAAACGCGTCATGACACGACGCGGGGTCACTGAGATAACGCCGTCTAAGTCCCAGATTGATTCCCGGATCAGCCGGATAGTCGCAAGCACTCAAGTGTGTACGATCCCTTACTCACGACCCGGTGACTATGAGGCGTCCCTAAGGATTTGTGGAGTTACGTTTACTTCTTTAAATTTAGCCTTTTATGTTTATGTCGCTTCAATACTTACATTGTTTTGTCTTGTTGCCTGGTGTGATGGGAAATGTGTACTTGCGATGCTGCGACTGCTTTGATACTGGTAGTTAATGTAGGATTTTATTTGTATTTTGTTTTAGTTCACTATACAACTAAGTTTAAAACAGTGTCAACTACTTTTACAATACTCATAGCTTATGTGTATGCTTTTTTTTTAAAATGTGCATGGAAAGACTGATGACTCTTTATGAAGCGAAAGAGGTATGTAAGAATCATAACAATTGGCGTTCTGTAGTCTTTGCCGGGCAGGGCCGGGCCCATGCATATGTATGTATGTGCATGAACCTGTCACATCACTAGCTAATCTTCTACTAGTCATGTTGTGGGTCTAGCTTAAGTAACTGTAAAACTATAATACTCTCTGTAAAACAAGCGGAATGATTTATCCGATTTAGTTAAAAAAAACTCGAGTATATTTATCTCTCTTCTAATCTCTATTCTATCTATTTCTATTTAAACCTTGTTAACATTGGACATCAGAATCTATAAATAAATAACAATCGAAGCGATCTGCGGCGATCCCTAATAACCAAACCAATTACTTCCATCGTGATAGTTTGGGAGTTGCGTACCTATTGTCAAAAGCTTTTTCAGACAGTTACTCCATGCGTCTTCCTCATTCTGTGGAAACCAGAAATGATACAATGGGCCATTTCAATTTTATCTCACAGGCTCTTGCAATTTGTCTAAAATGAATTGTGTTCGCGTTTGCAACCTATTTCGTTTATGTCGCTCCTTAGTCGTGTGAATGTGAGCCTGCTTTTTAATTACGATTAATTACTCTATTTTAAAACGCGTTTTGAGGTACCTACGCATGTTTTGTTAATGTTTGTTGCAAAAATTTTAAGTGTTTTAAGTGTTGCTATTCGAGTATTGTCGGATTTATTTAAGTTCAGTTCTGTCCGCGGTGTGGTCAACTAAGTGAGTTAATAGAACTATATATGTAATAGTTATACTTTATAAATATACTTGTAACTAATTAAGATCTGTCTTTCAAACGTCTCTTCTCTTCAAACTCTTTGCCTAGGATGCAAATATGATTAGAGGTGGTTTATAATGCTAGTCACAAATATGATAGAGATATATCCTGCCTTATCTTGTCGCGGAGAACCTAACGGGTAACCGGGGTTCCAGTTCGACGTGCAGGAGAAGGAACGGGTTGGTTTTTAGTCAGTAAGGGTCTGACACTCCCTCCCGCCTCACCCAGGCAGGAGCAGTCATTCGATGATTTTCCCCCCTTAAAAAAAATCTTGCCTTATCTTCAACCAAGTAAAATTGTAGGATAGGTATACTTTTCTTTTCACTTCCATATTTCGCCTCCCCTGCTGACTTTATTGAAGTTTACAGCTGACCACGTCCGTATTCGACAATTACACGATAAATGTCGTGTCAGTGAATAAAATTAAACAAATAAATCGTACAGTGCGAGGTGTGCGAACATACCGTCGTACGTTAACGCTCGTAATTTTGCCAAGTGCGAAGTTCCGTCACATCGGGGGGTACGTCGCATACCGCTTTAGGTGTAAGAATATTCGTCCAAGTGTCGGCTCTCGAATATTCCACGGTGTTGCCGTGTGCAATAAATCCCAGGGAGTGATGCCGCGGTTTTTGCCTGGCGACATTTTTTCCCGCGCTAGCGGTGCATTTATCACCACCGTGGACTGGCCGCGCCGGCCCGGTGACTTATGCCCGTTCCACTCCCGAGCAAAATGCCGTTTCATTTTTAAAACTACAAACAAGCTACTCCTCGTTTTGTTTTGGGAGTCCGCGCTATAAGTATAAACGTAAAGGAAGATGTTGTCTTATTTTTATTTAAATAACTCCTGCCTCTTGGTCTACTCCGATTTTATCCTTACAAGTTGTTTTTAAGTTGCACAGAATTTCGGAAGTTTTTATAAGTATGTTTGAAGCGTCTATTTAAAGAATTGTGTTAGGACCAGGCCTAAAACGTTTGTGTGCCTACGTATCAAAGGTCTTATACCTTTTAATATCAGGTAACCTCAACGGATTTCCACAACACATAAACATCAACAAAAAATGTATCAAAATTCATAAGGAAGTTTGCAACAGAAATCTTTACAAATGTCAAGCCGAACGATCACGGATCCACCGAGGCGTGGCCGCTAAGCGTCCGCAAAATAACTGTGCAACTTAAAAAGATCAAAAGCAAACAATAATTGTGTACCAACAATGGCACCCTTAAAATCCGTCGGAATGAACCGCAAATAAAACCAAGTTATTAAGTAAGGCCTATCGTCGACCGGGAACCATTTTATACGTACTTTTATCCAATGTCCATTCTTCTGAAATGCGATTAAAATTGAATAGGTCCATATGTCGCCGGCATCGGGGCCGTTGCGTCACAATCACACGGCCGGCTGCATTTTCAATTTGCCGCGAGATAAGCGCGACTTTTGGATGACTTTTTCTGCGGAATAGCGGAATTGATCCTGTGACTTATGGCGGACGACGTAGAAGACGACGTAATTGGATGGTCAATTGATCTGCTTTCCAATTTAAAGGGACCTTCGCTCCTTACAAAGGGACAGCGGGAATTACGCGCGTGTTTATCTATTCAATGGGGTTTTGAGCTTATTCATTGTTAGGGGAGGGTAAATGAAATAAACGTCTAATATCAATATTGATAATTTATTCACAATTTCATTTAAAATACACAACTTCACAATGTTTTGTTTTAAAAACTAAAAACTTTAGGTACGGGATATCGTTATAGGCTGTTTTGCAGTGATCTCTAATTTACATCTTTTTAACCTGATAGTCTTATAATGATTTCATTTATTTTCTACATGTTTCATTTACATTTCATATTTACATATTTTGGGGTACGGGAACGTGTTTGTAGTTGTTACATTGGGTCATTACGAAGTGGCCGTGAGTCAGCGAATGCAGGTAAACTTGATTGCAGCGGAGTGACCCGTGGATTAAATAATAATAATGAACCATTGTATAAAACAAGGTGCATGGAAGAATCGAAACATAGTATTATGACCACCTTGCGCAAATAACTTTCATTTGTTTATGATATTATATTATCATGGTAAGTATGTTACAACCACACACACAGACCCGCAGTTTAAAATGTATGGCCACTCAATATCCTTAATTTTACACGGTAATGTGATACAAAACTTTATAATACACCTTGTGACAAACAAATTTATTCTTTATACATAAATATTCAATAGCTAATTCGATTTAGTGACCATTTGAATAATTTATTTGACGAAATCATTGTTAATGCGCTAACAAAATCAGTTCTGCGAAATGTCACTATTCAAAACTGCTATTTATTTACAAAATTGCATGTATAAACTATTACATAAATTACTATTGCATTTCATTCAAATAACATCTACACAAATAATAAAATGTACAAAAAAAATCTTCGCATTATTCTTCTGAACACATCACAATTCCTATAGCGAAACGAAACGTTCGAATTAAATATAAAAAAAAAACAATGTACACAGGAACGGAATATAACTTATAGAGATATGTACAAATACACAAAATTATTTCATCTTTATTTGAACTATACTTATACGATAAAGACTTCATAACCGACCTTATCTAATATTATAATACTGTACAATTTCGCTAGTTACTTCATGTAAAACACTCTTAATTTAATACTTGTAGGAAACTGATCGTGGTATATCAAAGTCTTTCATTGGGGAACGATAAACTGGGACAAATTTACTTGTGTTCAAAATCAGGATATGTTCAGTTCAATTCAAACTGTGAGGCGGAGTGTTGGTGCGAGCGACGAGCGGGCGACGGTTTCGTATAGGGAGCCTCAAGGATTGATCGCTGCTTTATAGCCTCGTTAATCACAGCGTGGCCGTCGCTTCCCGCTCTCACTGCCACCTCAGCCTAGTTTGTATAGATGTAAACGTCAATTCTGTTCAACAGTCTTATTTATTGATTGATGTGTCGAATTTATCTCTGAGTGGAGTGCCCACTCTACAAGATCAGGGCTTAAGCACTGATTCGTTTGTAAGGTCATAATGTCCGTCCAATGGGACAGGACTCTTGTTTACGAAAGACATTATTTTATTAACTGCATTCTCCTGTGTTTGGTTGACTTATCACGTGTACTCACTCCTCCAGCCAGTCTGTAAAGAAGAAAGTATTGTTAATTGTGATGTTCGATCGACGTTTTTATTGAGTAAACCTACATATTGGACTGTCTCGGTGGCCTAGTCGCAAGTGCAACAGCCGGGGTAAGGGGTTCAATTCCCGGGTCGGGCAAACTGGGTTTATAAAAAAATCTCAATAGTAGCACGGAATCTGGAATTGTATAGTATGTGGCAATAGGCTCACCCCTTATTACATGGGACTCATAACATAAATAGTGAAAAGTGGGTGTTACATTGTACTGTGGCATAATGTGTACTTCTGCCTACCCCATCGAGGATATAAGGCGTGATGTTATATTATGTTAACTCAAACATATCAATTCATATTAGCAATTATAATTATGATTCCGTCTTGCTACATATTTCTCACAATTCTCAAATTTTAATGTAATTTCTGTCCATATTCATGTATTTATTTATGTACACAATGTTTAGATATGTGTAAAGATAACACAAATTAATCTTCTAATGTCTACCGACGGTAAAAACCTAGGAATAAGATGTGACTAACAACAATGATAATTTATTAAATCAGCTCGTATTTCAATACAATATGAAACTGCATAATATAAAGATTACCATGATTACGAGGTTATTTCCAATAAATATTCATAGCTACTAAAATTCGTAAAACGAATGGTCATATTTTACACAAATTGTTCACCAATAATATTGCAATTTTGTGTAAAAAATACGTTAAAAAGGTAATTTAAACTCTGATAGCAGATCTTAACGTACATTTTAATATAAATTTATTGATTAAATTGAGGTAATACTGGTATGGTCCGGATAAACATTTCATTAAAGTCGTCACAATATTATTAGTGCAAGCTATGTAGGTATGTAAATTCAAATATTCTTATAACCTTCACAGGTTTGCTGAGAAAATTTGAACTCTAACTAGTTTCTATACTAATATGTATTCATACGTAATTTGCAAGATAATAAATACCTACTCGACTATTATTGGATGAAATATTAATGATTTTTTTAGGCTCCATGCGTTACTCGTGTACGTTTGTAATTTGAAAATTTTTCCTTATTCTAGAATACACGAGTATCCTCTATATCACATGTCTAGTCAGAATTTTAATTCCTATTACTAACAAACGAACTATTAGACTTCCTCAACACATACACTGCTTGTCAAACACTTCGCTTTGGTACTTACTCTAATATGAATAACGTTGTAAATGGAATTTATCGTTTATAGTTCAATTGTTCGTTTAAGACGAACTTGAATTACTTTAAATACCCAAAGTCACAGTAGGTACTCAATGAAAGGACATAACTACGTATCTATAAGACCCAGGGACAGAACGTAGTAAAGTCACTAATATTACAGATACGTAAAACAATATAGAAAAGTGTTAAATGATAATACGTACCATTGAATTGAGCTGCGCGAGGTGATGGTGATGGTAGGGGTTGTGTGACGCTGGAGGAGGAGCGAAGCCCTGATGTGGTGCTCCGTACCAGTGGGACATGTGTGCCGCTGCGGGGTGGACGAGACCAACTTGGTGCTGACCTGGAGGACAAAAGAAAGGAGATTGTAGTACAAGTAATTTAGTTACAGGCTAAAAAAATGCCGTTTCTCAGACGCATGTCATAAAATGATGGTGTAAACGGTTAATTTAGGTACTAATTTTCAAAGACCATAATAAGCATTTTAGAATCCGCCAATCAGTCTATCCGAGTCAAACTTATTGACCACAAAATTTCTTCAATCGAACATACACTACTAGGCTTATATCTGCTTCATTTAAAGGCATATCTAATTAAACTGGACACTATCCTACAACTTTCAACATAAAGACAGCGAACATTAATATAACTAAAGTAACTCCCGATTTCTTCGCACTGTTTAAGTAGCAATTTAAATATCCACGTATACTGTCTGAAGTATTTATTCAGAGATTACAAGTAATGCTGGGGAAACCAGTCTCTTAGTTAGAAACTATTCATCTCCACTGCACGCTCAGATAACGCGCTGATACAGTTAATATTTCCCCTTCATTAACTCATTACTTTAAAGTCTTAATTAAGTTAAACTGGAGGTTTTTATTTAACCGAGAAATACTTTAAATTGCAACAAATGAGCAGCTTACAAAAGTATTTAAATCGTTCCGTTTCGATTTTTTACTATTTTTAATTATATGATAATGTTCACTTACTGTTTATGAACATATATTTAGATGTACAAGTATTTTTACGTAATATTTTTGTAAACTAAATATTTTGTTAAGTTTTAATGTCTTTATTGTGTTTTTAAAGATACAACGTTTTACTTGGGACTTCAGAATTTGTAATATTTTTTGGCACATAACATATTGACACTAATTTTCTAAAAAGATTAGGTTATCAAGTGACGATAGATATTAAGTAAATATTAATTGGTCTGCTAATCTAGCAAGTCATGCAAATTGTAACATTTCAAACAAGTAATTAATTGGATAGACAAATATAGAAAGATAATCATCACGATTTTAATAACTTCATAAATAACAACGGTAATCGAAAACTAGATTTCATTGAAAAAAAAACTATATTTTATTGCAAAAAGGTAATAAAACTGCGTGATTATTGTGTATTTTTTAAATTCCTCTCAGACAATAAAACAATAATTTTAATTTGGATCGTTAAAAAATAATCATGAATATGTATGAGATGTGTCAAAAATAAAGTCATTAATACAATAACGAGTAACTTTAACTAATAAATCAATAGTATGTTATATACTGTTTAATTTATATAGTTATTTTGACACGATTGAATGGGTTACCATGCATTAATAACTGCTCCTTGCAAATTATATTATAATAGTATTTAAATCAATACAAACGCCCTTTTTGACGCATATAGCACGGTAATGACGCGTTTGAAATCTAAAATCGATTTAACAATATATTTTGAAGAACGTGACAAGGACTATAAGCTAAGTTAATATGTGTCCATATTTTGAAATTAATTACGGACCTACAAAATTTATAATCAATGCAAGTTTTTCTTAAATTTCCTTCCTTTTCTCAGTTTGTTCTTGAAGTAGGTCGTTCAGACTGAATATCAGTATAGAACAACTGCTCTTCTCAACCCACTAAGACTGTTACACTAAGATTCTTCTGATTTCGTATAACTATCACACATGGTCGAATAACATGCTTTCTTAAACACTATATAATAATTAAGATTCTTACCAAAGTCCATGGCTGATGGGAAGGCGGAGCCGCCGAAACCCTTGGTTCCATCTCCTAGGGGCTTGATCATGTCTCCCATGACTCCTCCGAGGGCTAATGCACAAGCTCCTCCCCCTCCCATGCCCATTCCACCCTTCTTCTTCTTACTCTTACTACTCAATTTGCGATTTCTCGTTTGGATCCCCTCTTTCTTCATCGTAAGGGGCCGGTTTACCTGTTGACAAAGAATTTTGGAGTTTAGTGTTTTTGGTTAAAGGTATTTTTAGGGTAGTTTTCTGAAATGACTAAGTTCTGTTTATTGAAATTTGAATTCAGTTCACTGATGAAGGTATCAAAACTGTATAATTTGCATATTATTCAGCTTCAAGCATGTTTGAAGTTCAGACTTATAAGACTTGAATACGAATATCGTTAATCATAGCAGCGCGAGATTTACCCCGAGCAATAGTAATAAGATACATCACAAGGAAAAACATTATCATAATAGCTAAACAAAAGACGCACGCCAACTCTCATTGTCCTGAATGAGAATGACATTATGACGTGAAGTACCATCTACATAAATAAAACAAAGCAACTAGGATTTACTTGAACAAGCAAATCACGTATCGACCAAATTATTCACTCTGAATATAATATTTCGCTTAATTGACCCGTCGCAATATTCTGGACGAAGCTAATAAGTCGTAATTGTCCCTTGTTGAATCACACAATTTTGTTAACCGTCAGTATTCCATTTTATTGCTCTGACACGACATTTAGCGGTATGAAAAAACGTCTGCGGTACCAATTTAGAATGCTAACTACGGAGTATAAAGGCAGGCCGAAACCATAAAATGGTATCACAATAGTTGTGTGCGAATATTCAGCTGTTTGGTGTCCGATGCCGCCGCCGTCGGCGTCACACTGTGCATCCTAATTAGTGCAGCGATGCACTGTGCCTGGCTTCGTGTCCGTTTGGTGGGAAACTGCAGTGACGCGCGATTTGAGGTTAAGGTCCTCACTCTATATGGCACGTAAATTTCCTGTACTATGAACATGGAGATGGGCTACGACTGACCTGACCTCCTCAAACAGATCCGCGATTCTAAGAGTTTAATTCCATGCGATCAAGGGATAGCCAACAAGGAGAATGTTTGTTTACATGCACAGAATATAAGGGACGACATCTCTGTCTTTTACATGATTACGTAAAGATAAAGTTCGCAAGCGTGCTCTGTACATCAGATAAGCTCTTATACATTTCCATAATTGTGCAATTTCTCTGCCAAATTCTCGGGTCAACTATGTCGGTCACTTCTGCTTTGCATCGTGTTGTTTCTTAGAACCGTGCGTCACGACGGACGGACGGATGGACAATGAGTTATTCATCGCCTTCCAGGGAACTTGGCGGCGGCATGTGGGCCCTAAACGCACGATTGCATTGCGCCTGCGCGAACGCAGCCCATGCGCATGACCTGCCCTTGTTTGTGTTTGTTTTTGGTGATGTGCAATTTGAGTTTAGTTGTCTCGTTATGATTTATTACTGAATTATTTTACATTGTATATGGGTGTCGGTTTAATGTCGCCCATTAAGTTAAATAACAATTATCTTGTCTAGAGTCCTGTTTTGATTTAATTTAGCTTAACACGTCTAGATGTATTTTGTGTATAGTAGAACATCGAATAATTAACAGTAAAAGCAGTACAAAGTGCAATTTCTCCAGACGAACAGTGATAAAGCTTCATTAATCTGTTGGTAAAGTACTGCGTAGTTCAGTGCGTGCCAGATCCCGGCGTCCCTAATGCGTTCCCGCGAATCGCCCACACATCGCGCATACCGCGCCGTCGCGCGTCTCTCCTCTCAATTGAACCAATATAAAATGCATTAACATCACTGCATGCCGGCAGATTTAGACTGCAACCAAATTAGGTCATTGCGAAGCCTTTACTGGCAATATTTTTTCTTAATTGCCCACTGGAGCGCGCACCCGTAAAACGGTCTGGTAGCTTTTATTTTTCCGTATCAATTATTGCAAATTAGTTCCTTGTTAGAAAGTACGTGCCCGTTTTTATTGCTCATAATAAAACTGTGTATTAGAAAACTAGAAAAATAATATACGAGTGAGATGCAAACGCGAATACCAGTGAAGACAAGAAGTTAGTAATAATTCCTTCACAATCTAGTTTTAATGATTATACCTACTACCGTAATATATGGACGAATAAATATCAAATGCCAAGCTATGTGTAATATGATACGCGAATTAATTTAGTTTCAGGAGTATATTTATTTTGTATTTAATGTTGCACGTGGAGGTTTATATACTTAATATATGGAAGCCTTATATGATCGTTGCTGGTATTAGAAGTAGTCGGGTAACCGACAAGACGTCTTGATGGCGCAGAAATTACTTAATAACTGGCTATTATGCCTAGTTAATTACATCTGCTGTTCCCACTACTTTAGATATATGGATGTTATATATGCTGTTGATATATTCAGACTATATATGGAAATAACTAAGTGTACATATGTGCTAATCATAGCTTTGCTATGTGAATGCAAATGTTCTTTCTTATAGACAATCGCGATTTTGTATGTTGCCAATTCAATTCTATAATCATGATCTAATTGTAATAAAATACTTTCCACCGATGATGTTGAAAACATAATGTCACTTAGAAATGATTGAAGTACGAAAATGTAAGTGTGTTATGCGTGCGTATGTAATGGGGTACCACGTTACCAGACTTAGGAAAATGGCAGATATCCTTCGTGCCAATGTGTTTATGTTCTGCGTGTAAGTATAGTAACCAAGTACAGGTCACTGTTATTTCTTACAACATAACATAACATAACATCACGCCTTTTTATCCCCGAAGGGGTAGGCAGAGGTGCACATTTCGGCACTTAATGCCACTGTACAATGTAACACCCACTTTTCACTATTTATGTTATGAGTCCCATGTAATAGGGGGTGAGCCTATTGCCATATACCGGGCACAATTCCAGACTCCGTGCTACTACTGAGAATTTTTTTTAAAACCCAGTAGTACTTTGCCCGACCCGGGAATCGAACCCGAGACCCCTTGCCCGGCAGTCGCACTTGCGACCACTCGGCCATTGAGGCAGTCATGTTATTTCTTTATTTATTTATTTATGTACCAAGTACAGGTCACTGTTACAAAAGACTATGTCCGCCTTTTTTTCAACGTCCATGCTTTCGACAATGGTTACAGAGCTATTATCCGATTATCTCCTTAAATTATATTATAGAAGATCCTACAAAAAGGTTATACTACTACACATTTCCTCATTCAATTTTTGCGTCCCATATTCCTTTGTTACTTAGTATGCGCTTTACGTTATCTGCGTCAAGTTTCCACGGACTCATAATTATGGTCAGAAAATACAACGGCCATACGGCTATGAATCTGACCGAACATGGACTTAGCATGCAACGGCTACGGTACGTCCACGAGACGTAACGATATCAAATGCGGCCCTAAATTTTGTTAATGTAGGTTGGTGGGACTTTTTCGAGTATAAATGTTTGCTTTTTCAGACAATTAATTGAATATTAGGTAACAGAAATTGAAGAATTTCGAGGTCTCTATCTATCTAAATCTGGAGGTACTATACATAATTTTTAATAAAGTAACAAAGGCTTTGATTTTGATGAGAATAACACCCACCTAATATTGGATTAACGTAGAAAGTATTAAACCGCATGCTACTTTAACCAATTACAGCAAATCACATCCATAAGTAAAAATATAAACCATTTCTCCCACACCAAAATATTTTACCAATACTACAACCCAAACAAAATACTTTAAAAAGGTCTTACTCCAAAATTAATTTTGAATTACAAGAAAACCTAGTTCGGAGCCATGTTTAAAACAGTTCAAAGCAATATACAAATATACGAGGTTATGGTAGCGTGCACTATACTCATTACGCTTGGTCTTGGTACCTATGCGCTCATACTTGTAAATTGTACCAAACATACAAACATACATAGCGACTACTAACATGAATTTGATTTGTAGAAATCAAAATGGCGTATGGCGAATGTTGATTGTTGATTATGGTTATGAAACATAACATAATAACGTAAGGTAATTCTCAAAGGGTTAACATAAGGTTAAGTAAGAAAATTGAGAAAATTTTCCATAGTGGTGAGTACCTATTGATGAACATCTATATGAACTGCCACTTCAATAATGAATTGGTTCTTTTTTTAAATCATGACAGTGGCAAAAAACTCACACGACTCACCTGATGGTAAGCTCGGTTACCGTGGCCTATGCTTGGAAGACTTGGAACTTTACATGTGCCTTGCCGACCCTTGAAAAACCTATTTTTTTGAAGAATCCTATGTACTAGGAAACCACGGCAAGAAGTTCATTCCACAATAATTAATGGGAAAAAACTTCTACCCTAATAATAAGATTAAGCTAAGGTATGTGGAGTAGGTAATTAATTAACGATTATTGGGTATACCTTTGTCTTTATTTTCTAAAATTGTAGATAATACCTCATGGCACAAATACACGAATTCTATATAACTAATCACAAAACAAATATGGAGTACCTAACTAGTAATTTCGATTTTAAAATTGCACTTTTGTCATTTGATGGGGTTTCGTGCCTTGCAATTCAGGGTTAGTGAAACAGGTACGGTTAGCATGCAGCACATGCATCTAGTTGTCACTGTAATATCGACTGAACACGCCATGTTGAATAAACTATGAATTGTCGCTACATAACTACGTACATATTTACTAAAGTTTCATGAGTGTCAATTTAAACAGAGTTTGTAAACTGCTTACTAAGAAGAGACAAGTCGAAGTAGTATATTTGTTCACTTGTTCAGTAGGTATAAATATGTTAGGTATGTTATAAGCAAACGAAATATAAGTATAAAGATAGACGGCTACCGACATTCCTTTATTACGTCTTCTATTCTTTTACAAATTCGCGGGCCCCGCCACGCATATAGATAAATCTAACACCATAGACTATACTATGACCATAGAGTGTACCACAGATACACAACAAAATAAAATAAATAAATAAATATAATATAATACAGATTGAGTCTACCAGGTGTGATCCAAAATCGATCGTATTTTATAAAGAATATTATAATTGAAAAGCTTACCTAAACGGAACCAGGACTTCATGCCCAATTGCATTCGCGATTTCTCGTCTAACGAAGCTGCCAG